CCTATTGTGGTAAAGCCCATGAAGTCCTCCACGACACTAACCCACACCAACATGAATCTTTACTCCCTCCAGCTCAGGCCCGCGCTGCTGGTAATGCTGTGGATGAGTGCCCATCTGATGCACTAACACCAAGAGGTGACTATGGAACTCAATGTTGTGTGATTAGTGGCCATACACTTCCATTATTCTTTGATGGATTCAAGTGTTATTACCGTGTGGAGGCCATCACTGATGAAGAAATGAGAACTTTGCCGGAAATTGTATTCACCAGTGATGAGGAGTATGAGCCTTCTGCCCGCAGTAAATCTCGACGCTTCCCAGCAGAGGAGATTGATTGGAAGCGCACGATGGCTTTTCCTCCGGATGATGTCCTGAAGCACACTCTCGCCGCGACCACTCAACTGGTTCCTACTGTTGAGGCCGAAAGTCGTGAGATTATGAGAGACCATTTGAAATCCAGACTAACATGTCTGTGTTATCGGCGTCGTCGGGACGTTGATTTTCTCTATACCTTCAAGGCCAACATCAAATCGGTTCGTGGATTTTTGTACTTTAATTTATTTTCAAGTCAGAGGTCCGGATACGACCACCCCATTCTGATGCAGCAAAAGAGTGAATCCCCGGAAACACTTGAGGCGCATTTTGACCACTGTGGAACCCCCCACACTTTGAAGTCAGATAATGCAAAAGAATTTCGTTCTACAGCTAGTCCACGTGCAACCACCTCAACACATGATAGGTACATCGATCACGTTCCTCTTACTTAGCTTTAGACTAGTTGCCTGTATTCTTTAGTATTGGCATAGTGCCATGCTTGAGAGGAGGTAGATCGGGTGATGTCTTCGTCCATAAGCTACAGACGAAGAGGAGGTCAGGATCAAGTTAGTCGTCTTACGACTTACTAGATCGTCTGTCCGTATGTCCTCATACATCACATCATTCATCACGTTCATCTAGACACTCTATGAGTTACTGACAATGAATGAGTTCACGCAGGCTCATTTCCGTTCGTTTTCCATGGTTGAAAAAAGTTTATACTGCGGAGCCGCTTCTTCGTGTTTCTCCAATTGGACATGAGGCTGTTCCATCGGAATTCATCCCTTGCTAGTGTCCGAACTACCACATTGTTGCAGTTCGTCTAACATAGAGAGTATGGCAAGGAGGCAGCAGGATGATGCAGGTAGATTCCAATCTTACTGCCATATCTTTGCCGAACTCTCGACTTACTCACAAATGAAGCGTCGCAAGCCAATCATTGAGATGCTATAGATAACATAGTTGATTAAATAGTTAAGTTTGATTCCAAAATGTTACTAATGCAACCAGGATGTAGAGAGTGCAGACGCCATGTTCACAAGTCAATCATATACCAAAGGATTGATATGTGCGACCCGGTTATTGGTTGGATGGTTCTTCAACTGTAAAATAGGCAACTTATAAATATTCCAAATCTCATCTAACAGGATTAGTAGTCTTCCCATTCAATGTGATTTGAACAAAGTACTTACATCAGAATAACAAGCTCGATACCTTTCTTGTCTTGTCTTGCTTGCTGCTGTATTGAACTATGATGTGACCGTATCGGTAGAATAGGCAAGTCAGAAATATTCCGAATCTCAATTTTAGCAGGGAAGGTCCAAGATAAATCCCTCTCCCCTCCTGCTTTCAAACAATGTTGATTGTTGCATTTATCGATACTTTTCATGTCTTGTTTGCTGCGGATGTGAATGCAAACAATGCTTTGACCATGGCATAGACATTTATGCTGTACAGTAGCAAGATCAATCACACTCCGCTCCATCAGCTTTCAAACAATGTGGATTGTAGCATTCTTCTTGCCGAATTCATAACGTTGTTGCTGATTTGTTGGCTCGAGTCGCTTGTTCTTCAAAGACTACTGTATCAAGCAGGTCACGACAAGCAGGTAACAACGATTTTATTGCTGCGGTACTGAATGCAAACGATTTGACCGACCTTTGAAAAGGCAAAACATTCCGAATCTCGTTTAAGCAGTGCAGTAGCAAGATAATCCCACTCTGCTTTCGCTTTCTAGTGGATTGTTGGATTTCTTCATTCTGATCAATCGACACCTACTCAGATCGCGAGCGCCGATGCAGATTTGTTGGAACTCATCTTGTCTTCATTGATGATGCCCCTGATGTATACGATGTTGTGCTTCTGCCTCCAGGCTGTTTTGCATCATGGCTATTTAGCGTCTGTTGTGGTCAGTGTCGTGTGCTGTCCTGCTCCGTTGCTCTTGTTGCTCGTTGGAGGCTCGTGATCGAAGTGTTGTCGATGGAAACAATGATGACACGCACTATGTATGATACGATGCATCTCAACATGAAACTAGCTCCCGTCAAAAACGGTACCAAAACGGAAGAAAAATGCCTCTGCTACAGTCATATCCGGGTCGCTTAGTAGCTCTATTTTTTGAAATCAAATATTATTCGTCTGTTCTTCGATCTTTGGTTATTCCAAGCGGAAATGTGCCGTCATCGTAGGGGTAGTATGAAAAATACGACGATTTTCAAATATTCATCTCCTATTTTTTATGGAATACTGCCAAAAATTCGGTGCTATGAGCTATGACGACCGAAGGTCGCGAGGACCATGATCGGATGCCCCAAAGTACCCCGGATATACAAGATGGTGGATGAAACGACAAAAGCTAGGCTTGCGGAAAAGTATATACCTCTCCGGGTCCCTTGATATACGATGTGATTTCAAGTCAGGCTCAATTCTGGCACGTAGAAATCGTACCGTTTTCGCGTAGACCAGAATACTGGCCTGGTTGAGAATATTCACGTTCCTCAAAAGACACCAGATTGCCCACAACAAACAAAAACATCACCGTCGATGGATACAAAACAAACGAGACAAATGAAAGGAAATGAAAGAAGAGCAAAGATGCTGATGTAAATGTAAGTTTTAGATGGCAACATCTCGGACTTCGTGTGGAATTTTCTCAAACATGGCTCCTGCAAAACCTGTACGGGTTGGACTGGTGACATCGGCATCGCTTTCGTCAAACCACC